AACAGTTCGAAGGGTTCAATTAATGAATAGATAAATTGTTATCAAGGTCCTCTTGTGAAAAACATGCAAAACGTAATTCGAATGTCATCTTGTGGAAGAAGGGGAGGAAGGAGAGGACGAAAAGTGGAAGTGTATGGCAATTAAACAGCACGGAAAAGAATTGCCGAAGCACTAGTTGCTGTTAGTCAATCCATTCAATGACGTTGTCTGCACGATAATTACCCGCCTCTCCTCATACACCTCCAGCACCGACAGATGGGGAAAATTGTATTAGCTGGTTGACCTCGGTCACCATAGAGGGCGAGTACTTTGGAGCCTCTCCACGACTGCGCTTAAAGTTGTGCTCACCCAAGGTGGTGGTGGAGAAGATACTACCTACTACGGGATGGGTGGGGTGAAAGGAAGCCTAATAGCATGGCCCAAAGACCATGTAGAGCAGAGCAGGGAGGAAGCATACCCCTTCCTTCCCTTCTCTAAAATGTTTGGGGTGGCTGGAACTAGTCAGACTATTAAAAGGTCCTAAATTTGAACAAGTCACATACACAGCTCAGGCCAGTGCCAAACTCACACATAGGAAGGTGCTTCACTAGGTCTAGAGCTAGGAGAGAGAGAGAGAGATGAAGGGCAGGCGATGCTACCCGTCTCCATCCCCATTAGCACGCAGGCCTATATCCTCTCCTACCTTTTCCCAAAGCAGTGGTAAGAATCTTCTCTTCGTGCCTTTTACCAATCGGGATGGAAAGCTAACGCGTAAATGGAGAAGTATACCAGAGTTGAGCAAGGCGAAGACTATTGTTCTTCCCTTCTAGTTGCTGACCATGTCTAAGCCCCAAAAATGTCCATTCTATCCCCTTAGTTCCTCATTTTTACGTAATTTTCCTTTGCCCCTATTGTTCTAAAACTATTCATGATTAATGCTGTTGCTGACTTCATCTTCTGATCGTCCCGTAATGATGGCAAAGAAAACGACGAATTTTCGTTCAACCACAGCGAGGCGGATCTTAGTGGATGGTGTACAAATGTAATGCCACCACATCACCTCAATTTCCTCTAGAGTCTAATTTTTTGTTATCACATTTGGCGGGTTCAAAAGAAGGCAGGACGCAAAGTCGTTGAATGCATCTCTCTATCCATTTGCAAGTGGACAGACACAAACGAGGGCGAAACAGTCGCTTCTTGGCCGAATTGCTTAATTTTGTGGATGCACACCCTTGCCTCTGCTTTCATAACACACGAGGCAGAACTTGGGAAAAACAATTCACCATTTTTGCAACTTCCTCTCTTTCTGCCGATGTCGTACTTCGGTACTAACAAGGTATTGGGGACCGGAGGATTGAGGGAGGTGGAGCGTAGGAATTGCTCATTGTGGAATGGAAGTACTTCCCATCGGTGACCCAGCTGGCCACTTGATGCAGCGTAACCACAAATTCGTTGACATGATGCATATTTGCGTGTGTTTTAGGGATGCAGAACAACTTGATCGCCTGTGTGATC